ACCAACTAGGGAACATCATCAGTGCTACTCAGTTTAACACTGATGATGTTCCCTAGTTGGTTCATAAAATTTTAGCCAACATAAACCAAGTACATTTTCCCATCCAAACTCATCTGGGTTTTTTTCCCACCCCCAGAAAAGGAGAAACTCTGTAAGGCAGAAAAAAGGACTTCTTTTTCAAAACCTTTCTGGGATCAGCCCCAACATTGCACTCCCCAAATGATGCCTTCCGAAGGCTTGTAAAACCCTTATAAAAAGGTGAAGAGGGTTTCCAAAGGCACATTAAAACCTCTCCGTTTTAATCCGGAAAATTGGGAAATCTCAGGACGCCAATTTCGATGTGCAACTCTCAGAAGAAGTCAATCGCATTTGGCCCTCAAAGGGGAACAAACAAATTTCCCCTCCGCGTCTCTGAAATGTTTATTAAGTCAATAGTTTCATTAAGGCGATGAAAGCTTTTGCCTCGTTAAAATGTTCCCGAACAAAAAACCTCGGGCCAAATTCAGCAAAATCCTGACCTCGCCTTTCTTCCCCACTGTTAAAAAAGAAATAAAACACCAGGGAAAAAGAACAGAAAGATCGGACGTTGCAAATCCTGAGGGCTCCTTGATACCGCAGTGCTAACTAGAACGGATGACGTTCCCTAGTTGGGTCACGAAACGTCTTCAAGAAAACAAGCAAGCTCAGAGAATATCAAGGATTTTACACTCTTCTTCTTCCTCCTCCTCCTTCTTTTCATTCTCCTCTTTCTCCTCTTCTTCTTCTTTTCATTCTCCTCCTCCTCCTCCTCCTCCTCCTCCTCCTCCTCCTCTGCTTCTTTTCTCTCTCCTATTTCCCAATTCCTCTTCCTCCTCCTCCTCTTCCTCCTTTTCATTCTCCTCCTCCTCTTCCTCTTTTCTCTCTCCTCCTATTTCCCAATTCCCCTTCCTCCTCCTCCTCCTCCTTCTTTTCATTCTCTTCCTCTTCTTTTTCTTTTCATTCTCCTCCTCCTCTTTTCTCTCTCCTCCTATTTCTCAATTCTCTTCCTCCTTTTTATTCTCCTCTTCCTCCTCTCCTCCTCCTCTTCTTCTTCTAATTCTCCTCCTCTTCCTCTTTTCTCTCTCCTATTTCCTAATTCCTCTTCCTCTCCTCCTCCTTCTTTTCATTCTCCTCCTCCTCCTCTTTTCTCTCTCCTCCTATTTCTCAATTCCTCTTCCTCCTCCTCCTTATTTTCATTTTCTTCTTCCTCCTCTCCTCCTCCTCTTCTTTTCATTCTCCTCCTCCTATTTCCCAATTCCTCTTCCTCCTCCTCCTTTTCATTCTCTTCCTCCTCCTCCTCTTCCTCCTCCTCTCCCTCCTCGCATATCCCCATTCCTTTCTAGCACTGATGACGTTCCCTAGTTGGGTCATGAAACATCTGCAAGAAACCCACCAAACTGAGAGAGGCCCAAGGACTCCACCCCCCATTATTCCTCCTCAATCCTCCCTTTTGGTGGAAATTGGGGGTCTAGGGGGTCGTTTCCAACACAGCCAGGCTGTGAACCCTTCCCCCACACTTTTAAATAACTGGGGGGGGGTTGCTTGTGGGGTGCCCACCTCGGCTCTCGTGCGCCTGGACAAGACCCGCAGCCAGTTGCCAATCATGGTCAGAATGGAAGCGAAGTAGGCCAATCCCAGGAGAATCCAGACAATCACCAGCGGTTGGTACCAGAAATAGGCTCTGCTTCCCATGTCACCTGGCAGGTAGAATGCAGGGGGAGCTGGAGGCTTTTGCCCAAACCACCCGAATGAAATCCATCCTTCCTTTCTTTTTTCCATCCCTCATTCCCTCTCTCTTTCTTTCCTTCCTTCTTCTCATTCCCATTTCCTTCCTTCTTTCCCTCCCTCCCGTTCTCCCTCTTTCCTTCCTTCCTTCTTCTCATTCCCATTTCCTTCCTTCCTTCTTTCCCTCCCTTCCTCCCTCTTTCCTTCCTTCTTCTCAATCCCATTTCCTTCCTTTCTCCCTCCCTCTCCTTCCCTTCGTTGCTTCCTTCCTTCCTTCCTCTCTCCCTCCCTCCCTTCTTCATTCCCATTTCCTTCCTTCTTTCCCTCCCTCCCTTCCTCCCTCTTTCCTTCCTTCCTTCTTCTCATTCCCATTTCCTTCCTTCCTTCTTTCCTTCCCTCTTTCCTTCCTTCTTTTTTCTCATTCCCATTTTCTTCTTTCCTTTCTCCCTTCCTTCCCTCCTTCCCTTCCTTCTTCTCATTCCCATTTTCTTCCTTTCTCCCTCCCTCTTTCCTTCCCTTCCTTCCTTCTTCTCATTCCCATTTCCTTCTTCCCTCCCTCCCTTCCTCTCCGAGCCCTGGAATCCCCCTTCCGCCCACTTTGCGAAACACTTTGCCTGTTCCTCCTTTTTCTATATTTGCTATAGGTAACTGAATGTCCACCTTATTGGCTGGTGATACAAAGTTATATTTTGGATCCTCCTCTGGGGGGGGGGGGAGGGCTCACCTGCCACGTAGTCCCCAAAGCCCACCGTGGTCAGGGTGATAACCACAAAGTAGACGCTCTCCAGGAGGGTCCAGCCTTCCACGTACTGGAAAATGATGGTGGGCAACGAGACGAAGAGCAGGCAGCCGATCAGGATGAACAACAGGGCTGAAAGGATGCGCACGATGGTGGGGCTGACTTGCCATTTCTGCGGAGGAAGAAAGAAAAGGAAGGGGGGAAAAAAAAACAGGGAGAGATCAGTAATTATACCTAACAGGAATAACTGAGGGGTAAACTTTATCTTTTTTTTAAAGCACATTTTGCATAATCCACCATATTTTTATCCAAAATGCTTTAACCTTTTTACAAGTCCACCATATATGGTTATTTATCATGCTTTTAATGACTTGCTATTTTAAAAAAAACGGGGCGATACCTGGCAGATGAATGTGAACAGAACTCACCAGGAAAATATCTTCCACTTTTCCGATGCCTTTCCTAAGGGAGGATCCCAGCTGATCTCCAACCCCGGCAAGCAGCATCCCAAAAAGAGGGATTCCCACCAGGGCGTAAAAGATGCAGAAAAGTTGGCCATATCTGGTCTTGGGCGAGATATTTCCAAACCCTGTTGGACCACGGAGAGAAAAAAGGGAAGAAATGTCCGAAAAAGAGGGAGGGAAAAATTTTTAAAAAACAAGAATCATTGGCTGCCGTCCCAAAGAACTGTTTTCTTTTTTTTTTAATAAAAGTTTTTATTTTTAAACAAACATAAAACAAACATAAACACAGGCAAAGTATAAAAACCCTTCTCCGATTACTTACAGTGTGTGGATTGGTTACAAAGCTTTTGTGCTTTCTCACGATAATCTTCACTTGCAATTTACATAAAGTCTCATCAATCATCAATCTAATATATACGTATACAATTATTATCATTATTAAACATTCGTTTGACTATAACTGATTATTACATCCTCTTTATGTAAAGTATTCCAAAATAAATTTATATTAATGCATTTCATTACATCATCCGATAGTATTACATCTTTATACTATTCTATATAGAATTATTTCTTTTATAACAAAGCTTTTCAGCACCCTCTCCATAGTCCTCACAATCTGTGTAAAAATTCATATTATCAATCTAATGTGTATATATATGTGTATATACATATTTGGGCATACCAGGGGTTGTGACACTAAACATATACCTATTTCCCTGGCTCAGC